ATGCCTATATATATAGGTATATATGTATGTATATATATATATATATATATATATACATGTCCCTCTGTGTGTGTGCAAAACAAATATAATGGATAACATAAAAAGTCCATACTGAAACTTCAGCTCAGTTGTATAAAGTACTGATGTTATGAATAATATTACCTCATAGAAGAAACAAAAAAGTGTTATATCATTTACAAAATTCCACCTTTCTGTAATATACTGCTTTCAACTCGTTTTAATGTCTTCAAGGTGTCAAATTCAAATATCAGGTGTAAAACTTCATAACATTCAAAGTAGCAAAACTTTTTTTTTACAGGAAATGGTATGGTGAAAAAAAAAAGGATCCATGTAATGATTACACTGCTTTTTTGTATAACATTATTGATAGCTTTGCTGATGTTATTAAATTGATACAAATCAATTTTGTTGAGAATGCTTCCCTTATCTGAAGAGACCTTGATACCCAATCTTCACAAATGGTTCAGTGTGTAAAGATGATGAGTTTTGTAATCAAAATGTGTAAAGTTATGTACTTCGTTATAAAAAATTGAAACAGATGTGAGAAAAACATTAGTATTGTGGAAAAGAATTTTAGGTTGATAAAACTCTTAAGGTCTTCTGTCAAATGTTTAACCATGGTGGAAAGAGCTAATATTGGTTTTTTGTTAACAGGAATTTTTAACTCAAGAACCTGAAGGTTATTGTAGCCTCGTACAAATCTCTGATGATACCACATTTGAAGTAGCCATACTATATAAATATGTTGAACAGACTGCAAAGACAAACTACTAGAATAATAATTGGTTTAAGCCTTTAAAACTATGAGGAGATGCTCAGATGGGCTTGTTTTCCCTGAAAATTGGAATGCATAATTACTAAGAAAAGTTGGGCTTTGTTTTAGGATTAAAATTTTTATGGTGTAAAATAATCTTTATGTCACTTGCCTGTTTGAGTAGTGGAATAAAGAAGTTCTAAATACAAACCTAGACATTAAGCTTTAGAAGCCTAGACACAGGCTCTTTCTTAGATGATTTTGTTTTGTTTTTTTCAGTGAGTAAAAAATGCTAACATCTTCCTTATCTGAAAATGTATTTCTGATAGATACTCACCTCAACACACACACACACACTAGCTCAATTCCTCACACATCTGCCTATGAGATTTGTGTGCCACTAGCCTTGGGCTAACTCTCACCTAAATATCACGTAATTAATGTGAATCAAGCTAGTGCATGTTGATATTATCATGTAACAATAGCCCTCCACCAATAGGAAGGTGACACAACCTCCTTGTGCAGTAATTCTCCCTAGGCATTTGCTCTCAAAATAACTTCATTCTTACATGAGGCAAGAAGAAAGTGCACCAGAAATAGGGAAGGTGTCAAAAGGTAAATATCTACAAGAAATACATTTTCTAGGTTTGACAGCAAAGTTTAAACCTAGAACTTTACCTATGGAGCAAACTGTTGCTACCACAGAATCCAACATTAACTCTTTCAGTTTGAATCTCAATGAAACAAAAAAAGTCAGAATTAACATACTCTAAACTTTTAACATATAATGACATAAAACTAAAATTCAACCTTAATAGCCTTGAAGTCAAAGCCTTAAAAGAATTAAGATCTACATAAGGAGAGCTGAAAAAGGCAGTTGTACCATAGTTGTAGATAAAACATTACAAAGTATGGGTTTACACCTTACTAAACGACAGGTCTTATACCTCACTCAAAGGTGATCCTACCAACAAAGTTCTTTCAAATATTAAAAAAACTGGTTAAAGGTTGCCCTGTTCTTACTACTAATGAAAATATTTCTGTTATCCTCACATACTATCACCCCCATTTTTATGTTATTTCTAAAATTCACCAAGATAACATTCCTTTCAGACCTATAGTGTACAGCATAGGTTTATTGGTAAAAAACTTTGCCAAATTCTTAGTCAAAAGATTAAACCCTCTATTTTAAACTAACCCCAATTTTCTCAATCAAATAGAATCAAAACTTCATATATACCAAAAAGATGTCTTAGTATTTTTGGAATTAAAATCTCTTTACTTCAATACCCGTTGAACAGGCTTTACACTGTGTAAGAGAAAATCCAGAACAAGACAATCCTAAAACAGAATACATTATTAACTTCACAAAATACTGCATAAACAATACTTATTTTACTAATGAAAGCCAGTTTTATAAAAAAACAAAAACATACTGGAATATCTATGGGATCTCCCCTTTCCCTTCTACTTAGTGACCTCTACATGTCTGTTCTAGAACTATTTGGGAATAATTTCACACACACATCAAGAAACCTGAAATCTTGTTAAGATATGTTAACAATATTTTAGTATATGGCAAGATGGGAAAGATAATCTACTTAATTTCATTGAATTGTTAAACACCTTGAGACCTAATGTCATAATTTCTACACATGAAGTAGAACCTAACTATTAGATGTTAACATAAGAAAACAATAAAGACAACCTGTATATACAGGAAACCCCATAATGGCACTATGCCACCACATATAAGATCTAATCACCATCTACAACAAAAACTTTCCTCCCACTTCACCCACACTAACCATGCTACATGACTTTGTACCCTCAAAGAAGACTTACAAATTGAATTGAACTACTTAAAAGACTATAGTACTATAGTGGAATTCTATGGTATTAATGTAGTTATTTATGATTTTTTAGTTATTCAAATGTATATATAAAACCTTAAAAAATATTTTTTCAAATCCTCCACGTGCAAATTTTAAAGGCTTAGCAACCTACATCAAACAGCAATCGAGTACAAAGGTTATAACTAGAAGAGATAATTTTTTGCTTTACTTCTTTATTTACTGTTCTATGTTTTAAGAAAAATCTTTAAGAACTTATTTCAAAATAGCAATAATCTATATAAATACATATAATGTATAATAATTGAAATGTGACTATTTTTACAAAATACTAGTCTACTAAAACATAGCCAAGACAAGGTACATCGTACATTCAAAAGGTCAGTTTTATGTTACTTGATATGGTAACATGATTGCCCATGAGCCGCATCATTATAACTTCTGTATTGTTAGCCAGGCATGGCTGAAAGGTCAATATAATAAATATATATATAAATGTACAATGTTATGAGATTTAAGCTATTTAGTCTAAACATTTATGTTTTCATGTTGAAATTTGTGTTCATTCTAGAATGAAAGAGGCATAACTTATTTATTTCCTAATTTTTTATGGTGGTTGCAAGATCAGTCAAATCTACCGAACCC